AGAAGGAGGAGAAAGAGTAAGAAGAAGAGGGAAGAAGGGGAGGAGGAAGGAGGAAAGAAGAGGAGGAGGAGGAAGGAGGAAGAGGAGGAGGAAGGAGGAGGAGGGAAGAGGAGGAGGAAGGAGGAGAGGAAGAGGAGGAAGGAGGAAGAGGAAGAAGAGGAGGAGGAGGGAGGAGGAAGGAGGAAGAGGAAGAGAAGGAGGAGAAAGAGTAAGACGAAGAGGAAGGAGGGGAGGAGGAAGAGGAGGAGGAGGGGAGGAGGAAGGTGGGAGGAGGAGGAAGGAGGAAGAGGGGAGGAGGAGGAGAAGAGGAAGAGAAGGAGGAGAAAGAGTAAGAAGAAGAGAGGGGAGGAGGAAGAGAGAGGAGGAGGAGGAAGGAGGGGAAGAGGAGGAGGAAGAAGAAGAGGAGGAGGAGGAAGAGGAGGAGGAGGGAAGAGGGAGGAGGGGAGGAGGAAGGAGGAAGAGGAGGAGGAGGAGGAGGAAGGTATGGGAGGAGGAGGAGGAAGAAGGAGGGGAGGAGGAAGGAGGAAGAGGAGGAGGAGGAAGGAAAGAGGAGGGAAGAGGGAGGAGGAGGAAGGGAGGAGGAGGAGGAAGAAGAAGAGGAGGAGGAGGAAGAGGAGGAGGAGGAGGAGGAAGAGGAGGAGGAGGGAGGAGGAGGGAAGGGGAGGAGAAGAAGAAGGAGGGGGAGGGAGGGATGAGAGGAAGGAGGAAGAAGAGGAGGAGGAGGAAGAGGAGGAGGAGGGAGGAAGGGGAGGAGGAGGAAGAAGAAGGGAGGAGAGGAGGAGGAAGGAGGAAGAAGAGGACAGGAGGGAAGAGGAGGAGGAAGGAGGAAGAGGAGGAAGGAGGAAGAAGAGGGGAGGAGGAGGAAGAAGAAGAGGAGGAGAAGGGAAGGAGGAAGAGGGAGGAGGAGGAAGAGGAAGAGAGGAGAGGAGGAAGAGGAAGAAGAAGAAGGAGGAAGGAGGAAGAAGAAGAAGGAGGAAGAGGAAGAAGAAGAAGGAGGAAGAGAGGTGCCCACTAGTTTTCTCAACACCCAGGAGAGATAATTATAAAGATTACTCACCAGGGAGGTGGTTGAGACAGTTTTTCTCTCATCTTTTTTCTTTCTCTCATCTATTTCTCGTCCTCTTCTCTTTCTTTCTCCTGTCTCGTCCTCCTCCTCCTCCCTCCTCCTTCTCCTCCTCAGGACTACACAGACCCATTGAAATATTAAGAATACGAAACAATGTGTCCAGATGGTGTGTGTGTGTGTGTGTGTGTGTGTGTGTGTGTGTGTGTGTGTGTGTGTGTGTGTGTGTGTGTGTGTGTGTGTGTGTGTGTGTGTTTTGATGGGTGATATTTTTGTGTTGTGAAATGTAAGAGGGGAGGGGTTTAGTGAGGTAGGAGGGGGAGGCTGGGGGAGGTAGAGGGGTTGGGGAGGTAGGAGGAGGTGGGGAGGTAGGAGGGTTGGGGTGGAGGTAGGAGGAGGTTGGGGGAGGTAGAGAGGTTGGGGTGGAGGTAGGAGGAGGTTGGGGTGAGGTAGGAGGAGGTTGGGGTGAGGTAGAGGAGTTGGGGTGAGGTAGGAGGAGGTTGGGGTGAGGTAGGGAGGCTGGGGAGGTGGGAGGAGGTTGGGGGAGAGGAGGAGGTTGGGGTGAGGTAGGAGGGTTGGAGGTAGGAGGAGGTTGGGGAGGTAGGAGAGGTTGGGGGTGAGGTAGGAGGGGTTGGGGTGAGGTAGAGGGGTTGGGGTGAGGTTGGAGGAGGTTGGGGGTGAGGTAGGAGGAGGTTGGGGTGGGAGGTAGGAGGGGTTGGGGTGAGGTAGGAGGGGGGGTGAGGTAGGAGGAGGTTGGGGTGAGGTGAGGGTTGGGGTGAGGTAGGAGGAGGTTGGGGTGAGGTAGGAGGAGGTTGGGGTGAGGTAGGAGGGTTGGGGTGAGGTGGGAGGTTGGGAGGTGGGAGGGTGGGAGGTGGAGGAGGGTGTGAGGTAGGAGGAGGTTGGGGTGAGGTAGGAGGGGTTGGGGAGGTGGGAGGGGTGAGGTGGGAGGGGTTGGGGTGAGGTGAGGAGGTTGGGGTGAGGTAGGAGGGGTTGAGAGAAAGATGGAGGTTGGAGATGCGGATGAGGATCCAAGATCATATCAGGTCATATACAGTAATCATTTAACACACACCACCACACCACCACACATACACACACTAACACACACACACCACACACACACACCACACATCACACCCACACCACCACACCACTACCACCATCACACCACCACCATCACACCACACTACCACACCACCACACTACCACACACACACAGGAGGGAGGGAGAGACAGAGGGAGGGAGAGGAGAGGAGGGAGGGGAGAGGAGGGGAGGGAGGGAGAGACAGGTGGGGAGGGAGAGAGAGGGAGGGGGGAGGAGAGGAGAGAGAGGAGGGGAGGGAGGGAGAGGGGGGAGGGGGGGAGAGACAGGGGAGGAGAGAGAGAGGGAGGGAGGAGGGAGAGAGAGAGGGAGGGAGGGAGAGAGAGGGAGGAGGAGAGGGAGGGAGAGAGAGGGAGGGAGAGACGGGGAGGGGAGGGGAGAGAGGTAGGGAGGGAGAGACAGGGAGGGAGAGAGAGAGGGGGAGGGAAGAGGGGGGAGGGAGAGACGGGAGGGAGGAGAGAGAGGGAGGGGGGTAGAGACAGGGGAGGGAGGGGGAGAGAGAGGAGGGAGACAGGAGGGAGAGAGAGAGGAGGGGGGGGGAGGGAGGAGCCAGCTAGGATTATCCCTGAGGCAGACTGTCATTTCTAACACCTAGCCCAGGGGGAGCTGTCTGGGGGAGGAGGGAGAAGAGGGGTGTGTCTGGGGGAGGAGGGAGAAGAGGGGTGTTCTGGGGAGGAGGGAGAAGAGGGGGTGTTCTGGGGGAGGAGGGAGAAGAGGGGGTGTTCTGGGGGAGGAGGAGAAGAGGATGGGATGTCTAGGAGTCACACACACAAACACACACGTAGACAGTGAAATTCAAAACCCTGCAAGACAATCCCTACAACTATAATTCAAACTCAGGTATCGGATCCCACCTGGTTAGCAGTACGTCTCTCAATCAACTCTTTTCATCTATCTTAAAAGTGTGTGTGTGTGTGTGTGTGTGTGTGTGTGTGTGTGTGTGTGTGGATATTTCTGCTGTCTTTGCAGTTTCTTGCAACTTGGTATAGATAGACAGACAGACAGACAGACAGACAGACAGACAGACAGACAGACAGATAGATAGATAGATAAATATGAGACAGACTTGTTTGAACTCTTGTAACTGTGTGTTAGTAAAGGCTCCCCTCCTTCTCCCTCCCCTCCTTCTCCCTCCCCCTCCCTCCCTTCTCCCTCCCCTTCTCCTCGCTGTAGCCATAGTGCTGTTTGCAGACCCCTCTCTCTCCTCTCCTCTCTCTCCTCTCCTCCAGCTAGCCCACCAACAGGAACTTCACTACCACCACCACTACAACCTTCACCTCCAAAACACACACACACACACACACACACACACACACACACACACACAGGAATTCATAAGACAAACGAATATGTGTGTGTGTGTGTGTGTGTGAGACCATATGGTGATAATCTCGGATGATCCGTGCAAGGTGTCCCTCTGCCCCCGCCTGCAGTACCCTGGTCAGGAGGTCCTCCCCACTGATGTCAGGAGGAGATAACACTGATCCCGGGAGATGTGAGGTGCTCCTTGAGAGTGTCAGGGGGCTTTATTAGGGTCATTATGCCTGACTCTACCCCCCCTCCCTCCCTTACCCTATTCCTAAACCACCTTACCCCTACTTTCCTTCCCCCTACCCCACCTCTCTCCTACCTAATCTGACCCTCTCCCTTACCCCTTACCTTCTCCCCCTCCCCCTCATTTACCTCCATCAGTATGAACCCTGGAGTCGATCATAGTCACTTGTTGTTGTGCTGATTAAGCTTCTTCCGCTATTTATACTCTGCTACATTTATTCTTATAGTTTATTCCGCTATTTTTACTCTGCTAGATTTATTCCGCTAGTTTATTCAGCTACTTTATCTTGACTCGTGTTACTTACTTTAGGATAGAGGAGATGTTACTTTAGGTTGAGTAAGTAACAGTGTGTGTGTGACTCGGCTCTACTTCCCGTCACAGGAAATCACGAGACCATCTTAAGCCGATTGTGACAATGGTGTTTGAAGGAGGGACCAGCTTCTTACTCTATAGGACCCGCCCATCCTCACACCCCCCCACAGCAGGGAGTCCTTAGGGGAGTCCTGCAACCCACCACATCCTATGGGGGGTTCCTATAGCTATTCAACATCCTACTGTAGATCCTTTACGTTTGTCCTGTCTTTCTTTTTATTTTTTTTTTATCCTGCGGCTCTCACAAGGATTCAGGAGTCCTAGATGATGCTCCTAGAATCCTAAACTGCAAAAGGTACTCATCCTACTCTTCAGGACCTTAGCTGGACTTTATTACAACTGAGTACTTGATTACAGGTGTGTGTGTGTGTGTGTGTGTGTGTGTGTGTGTGTAATACTGATTGTCTTTGGGTACGAGATTTTCTGATTGTATGTGTGGACGGAATCTGTGTGTGAAATGATTGTCTGACTGTGGGTTGAATATCTGATTGTGTGTGTGTATGTGTGTGTGTGCGCGCGTGTGCATGTAGTCGACAATAACATCCCCAAACAACGACCACAAGGAACCAGGTAGACTCATTATTCCTCTGAACCTCATTAACAAAGGTAGTTTGAGGAGGGAACGATAGAGACAGCCAGGGGGACGAGGAGGTTAATCTCCCTTCACTAATCTCCCTCAATATAATGTCTAATCTCCTAATCCCGGATTGTAGATTGGGGCTTGATAACACGCTAATCTGATTGATCTACTCCTGGACCTCTTCTGGCCGCCTCGTGTGTGGGTGGATTCTCTCTCTGCTTCACCTGTGTTGACATATGTTGTATCTGTGATGGTTTATACCTGGCCGACACACCTGTGGTTATTATTATAAGAACACAGTCAGCAACAGTTACAGGTAAGGGCAGGTATGTCCCTCTCCCCACAGGTAAGGGCAGGTAACCCACTCTCCCACAGGCAAGGGTAGGTATCCCCCTCCTCCACAGGCAAGGGCAGGTATCCCCCTCTCCCCCCACAGGCAAAGGCAGGTAACCCCTCCCTCCCACAGGCAAGGGCAGGTAACCCTCCCCCAAAGGCAAGGGCAAACCCCTCCCTCCACAGGCAAGGGCAGGTAACCCTCCCTCCCACAGGCAAGGGCAACCCCATCTCCCACAGGCAAGGGCAGGTATCCTCCCCCACAGGCAAGGGCAGGTATCCTCCCCCATAGGCAAGGGCAGGTATCCCTCCTCCCACAGGCAAGGGCAGGTATCCCTCCCCCACAGGCAAAGTATCCCCCTCCCCCCACAGACAAGGGCAGGTATCCCTCCCCCACAGGCAAGGGCATCCCCCTCCCCCCACAGGCAAGGGCAGGTATCCCTCCCCACAGACAAGGGGCATCCATCACCCCTGCAGGCAGGGTCCCCCCTCCAGGGCAAGGGCAGGTAACCTCCCTCCCCACACAGGCAGGGCAGGTATCCCTCCCCACAGGCAAGGGCTCCCTCCCCACAGGCAAAGGCAGGCATCCCCTCCTCCCAGCAGGGGCAGGTATCCCTCCTCACAGGCAAGGGCATCCTCCCCCCACAGGCAAGGGCACAGGTATCCCTCCCCACAGGAAGGGCAGGTATCCCCCTCCCCACAGGCAAGGGCAGGATCCCTCCCCCCACAGGCAAGGGCAGGCATCCCTCTCCCACAGGCAAGGGCAGGTATCCCTCCCCCACAGGGGGCAGGCATCCCCTCCCCCAGCAGGCAGGGTCCCCTCTCCCCCACAGGCAGGCAGATCCCTCCCCCCACAAGGCAGCAGGTATCCCTCCTCCCCAGCGGCATCCCCCCCCCCCAGGCAAGGGCAGGGTCCTCCCCACAGGCATCCCCAGGTATCCCTCCCTCCCCACAGGCAAGGGCAGGCATCTCCCTCCCCACAGGCAAGGGCAGGGTCCTCCTCCCCACAGGCAAGGGCGGGTCTCTCCCCCACAGGCAAGGGCAGGTATCCCCCTCCCCACAGACAGGGTAGCATCCCTCCTCCCAAAGGCAGGGACCCTCCCCCAGGCGGGGCAGGTAACCCCTCCCTCCCACAGGCAAGGGCAGGTATCCCCTCCCCCACAGCAAAGGGCAGGTATCCCTCCCCCACAGGCAGGGCAGGTATCCCTCTCCCCCCACAGGCAAGGGCAGGTATCCCCCCTCCCAGCAGGGCGTGTGCATCCCCCCCACAGACAAGGGCATCCCTCCCCAGGCAGGCAGGTAACCTCCTCCCACAAGGCAAAGAACCCCCTCCCCCACAGGCAAGGGCAGGTAACCCCTCCTCCCCACAGGCAAGGCAGGTAACCCCCTCCCCCCCACAGGCAAGGGCAGGTAACCCCATCTCCCCACAGGCGCATCCCCCTCCCCCCACAGGCAAGGGCAGGTAACCCCCTCCCCACAAGGCAAGGGCAGGTAACCCCTCTCCCCAACAGGCAAGGGCAGGTAACCTCCCTCCCACAGGCAAGGGCAGGTAACCCTCCTCCCACAGGCAAGGGCAGGTAACCCCTCTCCCCAGGCAAGGGCAGGTATCCCTCCACCCACAGGCAAGGGCAGGTATCCCCTCCCCTCCCCACAGGCAGGTATCCCCTCCCCACAGGCAAGGGCAGGTATCCCCCTCTCCCCCCACAGGCAGGGCGCAGGCATCCCCTCTCCCCCACAGGCAAGGGCAGGTAACCCCCCCACAGGCAATGGCAGGCATCCCCCCAAAGGCAAGGGCAGGTAACCCTCCCCCCACAGGAAGGACAGGTATCCCGCCCCAAAGGGCAACCTCCCCCACCCACAGGCAAGGGCAGGTATCCCCCTCCCCCCCACAGGCAAGGGCAGGTATCCCCCCTCCCCACAGGCAAGGGCAGGTATCCTCCCCCCACAGGCAAGGCAGGTAACCCCTCCCCACAGGCAAGGCAGGTAACCCTCCCCCACAGGCAAGGGCAGGTATCCCTCCCCCACAGGCAGGTATCCCTCCCCCCAGCAGGCAAGGCAGGTATCCCTCCCCCCACAGGCAGGGCAGGTAACCCTCCCCCCCACAGAGCAAGGGCAGGTATCCTCCTCCCACAGGCAAGGGCAGAACCCTCCCCCCACAGGGCAAGGGCAGGTATCCCCTCCCCCACAGGCAAGGGCAGGCATCCCCCTCCCTCCCACAGGCAAGGCAGGTATCCTCCCCTACAGGCAAGGCAGGTATCCCTCCCCCCACAGGCAAGGGCAGGTATCCCCCCCAGGCAAGGGCAGGTATCCCCCTCCTCCCACACAGGCAAGGGCAGGTAACCCCCCCACAGGCAGGGCAGGTATCCCTCCCTCCCACAGGCAAGGGCAGGTAACCCCCTCCCCCACAGGCGACAGGTATCCCCCTCCCACAGGCAAGGGCAGGTAACCCCCCCACAGACAAGGGCACCCCCTCCCTCCCCACAGGCAAGGGCAGGCAACCCCCTCCCCACAGGCAAGGGCAGGTATCCCTCCCCCCCAGGCAAGGGCAGGTAACCCTCCCCCCCAAAAGGGCATGTATCCCCCTCCCCCCACAGGCAAGGGCAGGTACCCTCCCCCCACAGGCAAGGAGCAGGCATCCCCTCCCCCACAGGCAAGGGCAGGTATCCCTCCCCCACAGGCAAGGGCAGGTATCCTCCCCCACAGGGCGCCCCACAGGCAAGGGCAGGTATCCCCTCCCCCCACAGGCAAGGGCAGGTATCCCCTCCCCCACAGGCAAGGGCAGGTATCCCTCCCCACAGGCAGGGCAGGTATCCCCTCCCCCACAGGCAAGGGCAGTATCCTCCCCCACAGGCAAGGGCAGGTATCCTCCCCACCAGGCAAGGCAGGTATCCCTCCCCCACAGGCAAGGGCAGGTATCCCCTCCCCCACAGGCAAGGGCAGGCCCCCTCCCCCCCACAGGCAAGGGCAGGTACCCTCCCCCCACAGGCAAGGGCAGGTATCCTCCCCCTACAGGCAAGGGCAGGTATCCCTCCCCCACAGGCAAGGGCAGGTATCCCTCCCCCCCACAGGCAAGGGCAGGTATCCCCCTCCCACAGGAAGGGCAGGTATCCCCTCCCCACAGGCAAGGGCATCCCCCCACAGGCGGGCAGGTACCCTCCCCCACAGGCAAGGCAGGTATCCCTCCCCCCACAGGCAAGGGCAGGTATCCCTCCCCCCCCACAGGCAAGGGCAGGTATCCTCCCCCACAGGCAGGGCAGGCATCCCTCCCCACAGGCGGGCAGGTAACCTCCTCCACAGGCAAGGGCAGGTATCCCTCCCCCACAGGCAAGGCAGGCATCCTCCCCCCACAGGCAAGGGCAGGTATCCCCCCCACAGGCAAGGCAGGTATCCCTCCTCCCCCACAGGCAAGGGCAGGTATCCCCCCCACAGGCAAGGGCAGGTAACCCCTCCCCCACAGGCAAGGGCAGGTATCCCTCCCACAGGCAGGGGCAGGTATCCCCTCCCCCCACAGGCAAGGGCAGGTATCCCTCCCCACAGGGCAGGTACCCTCCCTCCCCACAGGCAAGCAGGTAACCCCTCCCCCACAGGCAAGGGCAGGTAACCCTCCTCCCACAGGCAAGGGCAGGCAACCCCCCACAGACAAGGGCAGGTATCCTCCCTCCCACAGGCAAGGGCAGGGTAACCCCCCCTCCAGGCAAGGGCAGGTATCCCTCCCCCCACAGGCAAGGGCAGAGGTACCCCCTCCCCCCCACAGGCAAGGGCAGGTATCCCCTCCCCCCACAGGCAAGGGCAGGTATCCCTCCCCACAGGCAAGGGCAGGTATCCCCCTCCCCCAAAGACAGGGCATCACCCCCACAGGCAAGGGCAGGTCCTCCCTACAGGCAAGGGCAGGTGTCCTCCCCCCACAGGCAGGTGTCCTCCACAGGCAGGGCAGTGTCCCTCCCCTACAGGCAGGGCAGGTGTCCCTCCCCCCACAGGCAAGGGCAGGTATCCCCCTCCCCACAGGCAAGGGCAGGTATCCCCTCCCCCCACAGGCAGGGCAGGTGTCCCCCTCACAGGCAGGGCAGGTATCCCCTCCTCCCCCAAGCAGGCAGGTCCCCTCCCCAGGCAAGGCAGTGTCCCCTCCCCACAGGCAAGGGCAGGTATCCCCTCCCCCCACAGGCAGGGCAGTGTCCTCCTCCCAGGCAGGGCAGGTGTCCCTCCCCACAGGCAGGGCAGGTGTCCCTCCCCCCACAGGCAGGGCAGGTGTCCCCCTCCCTCCCCAGGCAAGGGCAGGTGTCCCCCCTCCCCACAGGCAGGGGCGTGTCCCCTCCCCCACAGGCAGGGCAGGTATCCCCCTCCTCCCAGGCAAGGGCAGGTATCCCCTCCCCACAGGCAAGGGCAGTGTCCCCCTCCCCACAGGCAGGCGGTAACCCCCTCCCCCCACAGGCAAGGGCAGGTATCCTCCCTCCCCACAGGCAAGGGCAGGTTCCTCCCCCACAGGCAAGGCAGGTATCCTCTCCCCCCACAGGCAAGGGCAGGTAACCCCCTCCCCCCCACAGGCAAGGGGCAGGTGTCCCCCTCCCCCCCACAGGCAGGGCAGGTAACCCCTCCCCCCCTGCAGGCAGGTGTCCTCCTCCCCACAGGCAAGGGCAGGTATCCCCCTCCCCCACAGGCAGGGGCAGGTGTCCTCCTCCCCACAGGCAGGGGCAGGTGTCCCCCTCCCCACAGGCAGGGCAGGTGTCCCCTCCCCACAGGCGGGCAGGTGTCCCTCCTCCCCCCACAGGCAGGGCAGGTACCCCCTCCCCCACAGGCAGGGCAGGGCCACCCCTCCCCCAGGCAGGCAGGTGTCCCCTCCCCCCCAGGCAGGGCAGGTGTCCCCTCCTCCCCCACAGGCAGGGCAGGTATCCTCCCCCCCCAGGCAGGGCAGGTACCCCTCCCCCCACAGGCAGGGCAGGTAACCCCTCCCCACACAGGGCAGGGCAGGTGTCCTCTCCCCACAGGCAAGGCAGGTAACCCCTCCCCCCAGAGCAGGGCAGGTGTCCCCCTCCCCCCCACAGGCAAGGGCAGGTATCCCCTCCTCCCACAGGCAGGGCAGGTGTCCCCCTCCCCCACAGGCAGGGCAGTGTCCTCCCCCACAGGCAAGGGCAGGTAACCCCCCCCCCCAGGCAGGCAGGTGTCCTCCCACAGGCAGGGTAACCCCCCTCCCCCACAGGCAAGGGCAGGTGTCCCCCTCCCCCCACAGGCAAGGGCAGGTAACCCCTCCCCCCACAGGCAGGGCAGGTCACCTCCCCCCCACAGGCAGGGCCAACCCCTCCCCCATGCAAGGGCAGGTGTCCCCTCCTCCCCTGGCAGGGCAGGTGTCCCCTCCCCACAGGCAGGGGCAGGTCACCTCCTCCCCCACAGGCAGGGGGTGCCCCTCCCCCACAGGCAGGCAGGTATCCTCCCCACAGGCAAGGGCAGGTATCCCCCTCCCCCCACAGGCAAGGGCAGGTGTCCCCTCCTCCCCCACAGGCAGGGCAGGTGTCCCCCTCCCCACACAGGCAGGCAGTGTCCCCTCCCCCACAGGCAGGGCAGGTACCCCCTCCCCCCACAGGCAGGGGGGTGTCCCCTCCTCCCCCACAGGCAGGGCAGGTATCCCCCTCCCCCCACAGGCAAGGGCAGGTGTCCTCCTCCCCCAGGCAGGGCAGGTGTCCCCTCCTCCCCTGGGCAAGGGGCAGGTAACCCCTCCCCCCAACAGGCAGGGGCAGGTGTCCTCCCCCATGCAGGGCAGGTGTCCCCTCCCCCACAGGCAGGGCAGGTATCCCCTCCTCCCACAGGCAAGGCAGGTATCCTCCCCCCCAGCAGGCAGGTGTCCCTCTCCCCACAGGCAGGGCAGGCCAGCCCCTCCCCCAACAGGCAGGGCAGGTCCTCCTCCCCACAGCAGGGCAGTACCCTCCCCCAACAGGCAGGGCAGGTGTCCCCTCCCCCCACAGGCAAGGCAGGTGTCCTCCCCACAGGCAGGGCAGGTGTCCCCCTCCCCCCCACAGGCAGGGGCAGGGTATCCCCTTCCCCCCACAGGCAGGGGCAGGTGTCCTCCCCCCCTCCCCGAGCAGGGGCAGGTGCCCCCCCACAGGCAGGGGAGTGCTCCCTCCCCCCACAGGCAGGGCAGGTAACTCCTCCCCCCACAGGCAAGGGCAGGTATCCCTCCTCCCACATGCAAGGCAGGTATCCCCTCCCCCACAAGGGGGTATCCCCTTCCCCCACGAAGGGCAGGTATCCCCCTCTGCAGGGGCAACCCTTTCCCCCCACAGGCAGGGCAGGCATCCCCCCCACAGGCAGCAGGTAACCCTCCCCCACAGGCAAGGCAGGTATCCCCCCACAGGCAAGGGCAGGTATCCCCCTCCCCCCACAGGGCAAGGGCAGGTATCCCCCCCCCACAGGCAAGGGCAGGTATCCCCTCCCCCCACAGGCAAGGGCAGGTACCTCCCCCACAGGCAGGCAGGTTCCCCCCTACAGGCAAGGGCAGGTATCCCCCCACAGGCAAGGCAGGTACCTCTCCCCACAGGCAAGGGCAGGTTACCCCTCCCCCAGGAGATCCCTCCCACAGGCAAGGCAGGTATCCCCCCCCCCAGGGCAAGGGCAGGTATCCCCTCCCCCACAGGCAGGCGGGGCAGGCACCCCCCCCCTGGGCAGGCGCGGTGACCCCTCCCCCCACAGGCGCAGGTATCCTCCTCCCCCCACAGGCAGGGCAGGCCCTCCCCCCAACAGGCAAGGCATCCCCCCCCCCAGGGCAGGGCAGGTATCCCTCCCCAGGCAAGGGCAGGCATCCCTCCCCCCCACAGGCAAGGGCAGGTATCCCTCCCCCACAGGCAAGGCAGGTATCCCCCCTCCCCCAAGGCAAGGGCGGTAACCCTCCCCTGGGCAGGGGTATCCTCCCCTCCTCCCCACAGGCAAGGGCAGGTATCCTCCCTGGGGGCAGACCCCTCCCCCACACGGAAGGCAGGTATCCTCCCTCCCCCCCTGGGCAAGGCAGGTATCCCTCCCCCCACAGGCAGGGATCCTCTCCCCCCACAGCAAGGGCAGGTATCCCCCCCCCACAGGCAAGGGCAGGGTCCTCCTCCCCCCACAGGCAAGGCAGGTATCCCCTCCCCCACAGGCAAGGGCAGGATCCTCCCCACAGGCAGGGGGGTATCCCCCTCCCTCAGGCAGGCAGGATCCTCCCCACAGGCAGGGGCATCTCTCCCCACAGGCAGGCAGGTATCCCTCCCCACAGGGGGGGAACCCCTCCCCCAGCGGCAGGGGCTTCCTCCCCCGGGACCCCCCCACAGGCAAGGGCAGGTATCCTCCTCCCCACAGCAAGGGCAGGTATCCCCCTCCCCACAGGCAGGGCAGGATCCTCCCCCAGCGGGTCCTCCCCCACAGGCAAGGGCAGGATCCCCTCCCCACAGGCGGGCAGGCATCCTCCCCCACAGGCAAGGGCAGGCATCCCCCCCACAGGCAAGGGCAGGTATCCTCCTCCCCCACAGCAAGGGGCGGGGATCTCCTCCCCCAGGAAGGGCAGGTATCCTCCTCCCCCCCCAGCAGGCAGGTATCCCCCCCCAGGCAAGGCGCGCAGGCATCCCCTCCCCGACAGGGCAGGTATCCTCTCCCCCAGGCAAGGCAGCAGTCTCCTCCCCACAGGCAAGGGCAGGTATCCCTCCCCCAAGCAAGGGCAGGTATCCCCTCCCCCACAGGCAGGGGGGTAACCTCTCTCCCCCCACAGGCAAGGGCAGGTATCCCCTCCTTCACGGCAAGTGCAGGTAACCCCCTCCCCCACAGGCAGGGCAGTTGTCCTCCCCCACAGGCAGGGCAGGTATCCCCTCCCCCACAGGCAGGGCAAGAGTAACCCCCCTCCCCCACAGGCAGAGGCAATCCTCCCCCACAGGCAGGGCAGGTAACCCCCCTCACCCACTGGCAAGGCAGGTAACCCCTCCACCCACTGGCAAGGGCAGGTAACCCCCTCCACCCACTGGCAAGGGCAGGTAACCCCCTCCACCCCACTGGCAAGGGCAGGTAACCCCTCCACCCCACTGGCAGGGCAGGTAACCCCCTCCACCCACTGGCAAGGGCAGTGCCCCTCCACCCACTGGCAAGGCAGGTAACCCCCTCCACCCACTGGCAGGGCAGGTAACCCCTCACCCACTGGCAAGGGCAGGTAACCCCCTCCACCCACTGGCAAGGGCAGGTAACCCCCTCCCCCTACACGCAAGGACAGGTATCCCCCTCCCCACAGGCAGGGCAGGTATCCCCCTCCCCTACACAGGGCGGTATCCCTCCCCCACAGGCAGGGCAGGTATCCCCTCCCCTACACGCAAGGGGGTTATCCCCTCTCCCCTACAGGCAGGGCAGATATCCCTCCCTCCCACATGCAAGGGTGGTAACCCCTCCCCCCACAGGCAGGGCAGGCATCCCCTCCCTCCCCACAGGCAGGGCAGGTATCCCCCTCCCCTGAGCAGGGCAGTATCCCCTCCCCCCCACAGGCAAGGGCAGGTATCCCCTCCCCTACAGGCAGGGCAGGTATCCCCCTCCCCCAGGCAGGGCAGGTAACCCCGTCTCCCCACAGGTAGTCTCGTCTTAATGAAGCCACTTAGGGCATTCCAGTGTTTTCTTCATCGTTCTTTTTCCCACATACTGGAGGCCTAGGGGTGCCTGGTCAGGTTCCGATCGCCATAAACGTTCATCCCAGAGGTCTTTATTAGCCTGGGTCTTAGTCTCCTTATCGGACCACGAGCCCGCTTATTGGAACACGGATGGTTTATTGGAACACGGTGTCTTATTGGAACACAGGATGGCTTATTGGGACATCGGTTGGCTTATTGGAACACGGGATGACTTATTGGAACACGAGATGGCTTATTGGAACACAGGATGGCTTATTGGAACACGGGATGGCTATGGGACAGGGATGGCTTATTGGAACACGGGATGGCTTATTGGAACATTGACAGCTTTTTGGAACCAATGTCCTTCTCTTCCTTCCTCCTCCTCCTCCTATTGAAGGTGGTCCAATCCCTTCTTCCTCCTCCTTTTCCCTCACTCCTCCTGTTCTTCTCCTCCTCACCTCCTCTTCCTCCCTCCCTCTTCCTCCCGTTTAAGAGGGCCCATCGCCCCCCTTTCCTCCATCTTGCACCCTCCCTCAACGCCCCCTGTCATCCTGCAGAAGGGAAAACCACAGGACCTGTTTCAACAAGGTCCTTCAAGTAAGTGGTCTTGCTGCCTTCCGTTCCTTTCCTCTTTCTCTACTGACGAAGACACAGCCGAAGGGAGAGGGGGTGTAAAATCCTCTCTCTCTCTCTCTCTTCTCTCTCTCTCTCTCTCTCTCTCTCTCTCTCTCTCTCTCTCTCTCCTGCACTCACTCTCTAGGAGACAAATGGAAAATTGACCTCACTGGACACACATGGGAGACGTGTGTGTGGCCGCCTCTGAGAGAACTCCAAACACGTTGCTATTTTAATTAATGCGGTAATACCCTATTGAGTGCCCCCATTAACGTCTGTACGCATGTCTTTATTGCCTCTGTGTGTGTGTGACTGACCGCGGGGCGTTCACTTGTCTCTGGGGAGTTTACCTTTGGGAGTTGACTTGGGTCTGGGGAGTTTACTTTTGGGAGTTTATTTGGGTCTGGGGAGTTTTCTTTTGGGAGTTGACTTGGGTATAGGAGTTTTCTTTGGGAGTTGACTTGGGTCTGGGGAGTTTACTTTTGGGGTTGACTTGGGTCTGGGAGCTTACTTTTGGAGTTGACTTGGGTCTGGGAGTTACTTTGGGGTTGACTTGGGCCGGAGCTTACTTTCTTTCTCCTCAGCGCTGAAGATGGTGGCCGCTGCCCTGATCTCTTGAGAAACAAACAATCATACAAACAAACAAACATACAATCAAACAAACACACTGGCAGGATTTCTCAAGGCAGACAATAAACAGTGACTAAGGGAACACAACAAAGGAATAATAAGCAAAACATGTGATAACTATGAGAAATATAGACAATAGTGATAATAAATGATGATATAAACACGAGCACTTCTACACCACAAACAGATATTTACAGTAATGATAAACAAAACACAGAATTAGTGAATATTGTAATAAATGTAAAGAAAACAGCATAAAATATAATAATAATTAGTGGAGATAAGATAATATTAATGAAGGAAAGATTCTTATCTATTATATTTATTTATTTAATTTTATTTTTATTTTATTTTTATTTTATTTTTAATTTTTTTTTGAGGGTGGTTGAGAGTCCCCACACACCGTCTGGGGTGTTCACTGCAGCATCATCACCATCAGGAAAACTCAAGAACACTTTTAGCAGTCGTGTCGGTTTCTCCTCCTCGTACACACACACACACACACACACACACACACACACACACGACCTCTTTTTAAATGTCCTCTCAGGTGACCCTCGCCTTGTTCATTTCCTGTTATCTACGCCATCTACCCGCACCTTATCTAGACCATCTTAAACAGAGTATCACCCTCCTGTTTGTGGGTATCTGCCGCCCTACCCACCCAAGGCCTCGGTACTCCCCCCTTACTCCCCATTCCAGTGTTGCCAGATGGACCCAGTCTATCACCCTGGAGGACGCCACTACGCCACACACTACGTGAAATCACCAGCCTTCATACTTACTTAAAAACACCACAACTTCGACACCACTTCTATCATTTGAAATGTTTTCTCATGTCAAACTGCTACAGATATATGATAGGAGTGAGAGTGAAGAAGTGTGAGATGAAGAAGTGTGTGGAAGGTGAGAGTGTGTGGGGTGAGAGAGAAGTGTGTGAGAGGTGAGAGAGGTGTGTGGAGAGGTGAGAGAGTGTGAGAGGTGAGAGAAGTGTGTGAGAGGTGAGAGAAGTGTGTGAGAGGGTGAGAGAAGTGTGAGAGGTGAGAGAAGTGTGAGAGATAGAGACGTGTGTGAGAGGGGTGAAAGAGTGTGTGAGAGGTGGGGAGAAGTGTGTGAGAGGTGAGAAGTGTGTGAGAGAGATGAAAGTGTGAGAGGTGAGAGAAGTGTGAGAGGTGGGGAAAGTGTGTGAGAGGTGGGAGGTGTGTGAGAGGTGAGAGGGTGTGTGAGAGGTGAGAGAAGTGTGTGAGAGAGGTGAGAGGGGGTGTGTGAGAGGTGAGAGAAGTGTGTGAGAGGTGAGAGAAGTGTGTGAGGTGAGAGAAGTGTGGGAGAGGTGAGAGAAGTGTGTGAGAGGTGAGAGAGGGTGTGTGAGGTGGGGAAGTGTGTGAGGAGGTGAGAGAAGTGTGTGAGAGGTGAGAGAAGTGTGTGAGAGGTGAGAGAAGTGTGTGAGAGAGGTGAGAGTGTGAGAGGTGAGAGTGTGGGAGGTGAGAGGGTGTGTGAGGAGGGTGAGAGAGTGTGTGTGAGAGAGGTGAGAGAGGGTGTGTGAGGTGAGAGGGGTGTGTGAGGAGGTGAGAAGTGTGTGAGAGGTGAGAGGGTGTGAGGAGGTGAGAAGTGTGTGAGGGTAGAGAGAGTGTGTGAGGAGGTGAGAGAAGTGTGTGAGAGGTGAGAGAAGTGTGTGAGGAGAGGTGAGAGAGGTGTGAGAGGAGGTGAGAGAAGTGTGTGAGAGGTGAGAGAGTGTGTGAGAGGTGAGAGAAGTGTGAGAGGTGAAGGGGTGAGAGAGTGAGAGGTGTGTGAGGGTGAGAAGGTGTGAGAGGTGAGAAGTGTGTGAGAGGTGAGAAGTGTGTGAGAGATGAGAGGGTGTGTGAGAGAGGTGAGAGAAGTGTGGGAGAGGTGAGAGAAGTGTGTGAGGGGTGAGAGAAGGGTGTGTGAGGAGGTGAGAGTGTGTGAGAGGTGAAGGGAGAGGTGGAGAAGTGTGTGAGAGGTGAGAGAAGTGTGTGAGAGGTGAGAGAAGTGTAGAGAGGGTAGAGTGTGTGAGAGGTGAGAGGGTGTGTGAGAGGTGAGAGGGTGTGTGAGAGGTGAGAGAGAAGTGTGTGAGAGGTGAGAGGGTGTGTGAGAGGTGAGAGAAGTGTGTGAGAGGTGAGAGAAGTGTGTGAGAGGTGAGAGGGTGTGTGAGAGATGAGAGAGGTGTGTGAGAGGTGGGAGAAGTGTGAGAGAGGTGAGAGAGTGTGTGAGAGGTGTGAAGAGAAGTGTGTGAGGAGGGTGAGGGTGTGTGAGAGGGAGGGAAGTGTGTGAGGGTGAGGGTGTGGAGGAGGTGGAAGTGTGTGAGAGGTGAGAGAAGTGTGTGAGAGGTGAGAGAGTGTGTGAGAGGTGAGAGGGTGTGTGAGGTGAGAGAGTGTGTGAGAGGTGAGAGAGGTGTGTGAGAGGGTGAGAGTGTGAGAGGTGAGAGTGTGAGGAGAGATGAGAGAAGTGTGAGAGGTGAGAGGTGTGTGAGAGGTGAGGAAGTGTGGGGAGGTGAGAGAGGGTGTGTGAGAGATGGGGAGTGTGGGGGTGAGGGTGTGAGAGGAGAGGTGAGAGAAGTGTGTGAGAGGTGAGAAGTGTGTGAGAGGTGAGAGAAGTGTGTGAGAGGTGAGAGAGAGAAGTGTGTGAGGAGGTGAAGAAGTGTGAGAGGTGAGAGAAGTGTGTGAGAGGTGAAGTGTGTGAGAGGTGAAAGTGTGTGAGAGAGGTGAAAGTGTGTGAGAGGTGAGAGAAGTGTGTGAGAGGTGAGAGAAGTGTGTGAGAGGTGAAGTGTGAGAGGTGAGAGAGAAGTGTGTGAGAGGTGAGAGAAGTGTGTGAGAGGTGAGAGAAGTGTGTGAGATGAGAAAGTGTGTGAGAGGTGGGGTGTGAGAGGTGAAGAAGTGTGTGAAGAGGTGAGAGAAGTGTGTGAGAGGTGAGAGAAGTGTGTGAGGAGGAGAGTGAAGTGTGTGAGGGGGTGAGAGGGTGTGTGAGAGGTGAGAGTGTGTGAGAGGTGAGAGAAGTGTGTGAGAGGGTGAGAGAAGTGTGTGAGGAGATGAGAGAAGTGTGCGAGAGGTGAGAGAGTGTGTGAGAGGAGAGGTGAAGTGTGTGTGTGAGAGGTGGGAAATGTGAGAGAGGTGAGAGAGGGGTGTGTGAGGAGGTGAGGGAGGGTGTGTGAGGGTGAGAGAGTGTGTGAGGAGGGTGAGAGAGTGTGTGAGAGGTGGGGAGAAGTGTGTGAGAGGTGGGAGAAGTGTGAGAGAGGGTGAGAGGGTGTGTGAGAGGTGAGAAAGTGTGTGAGAGGTGGGGGGTGTGTGAGGGTGAGAGGGTGTGTGAGAGGTGAGAGAAGTGTGTGAGAGGTGAGAAAGGGGTGTGTGAGGGTGAGAGGGTGTGTGAGGAGGTGAGAGAAGTGTGTGAGGTGAGAGTGTGTGAGAGGTGAGAGAAGTGTGTGAGAGGTGAGAGAAGTGTGTGTGTGAGAGGAGAGTGGTGTGTGAGAGGTGAGAGAAGTGTGTGAGAGGGTGAGAGAAGTGTGTGAGAGGTGAGAGAAGTGTGTGAGAGGTGAGAGGGTGTGAGAGGTGAGAGAAGTTGAGAGGTGAGAGAAGTGTGTGAGAGGTGAGAGAAGTGTGTGAGAGGTGAGAGGGTGTGTGAGAGGTGAGAGAAGTGTGTGAGAGGTGGGAGAAGTGTAGAGAGGTGAGAGAAGTGTGTGAGAGGTGGGAGAAGTGTGTGAGAGGTGAGAGAAGTGTGTGAGGAGGTGAGAGAAGTGTGTGAGAGGTGAGAGAAGTGTGTGAGAGGAGGTGAAGTGTGGAGAGGTGAAGTGTGAGAGAGGTGAGAGAAGTGTGTGAGAGGTGAGAGAAGTGTGTGAGAGGTGAGAGAAGTGTGTGAGAGGTGAGAGAAGTGTGAGTTTGTAGGGGATGGAGGAGGAGGAGGAGGAGGGTGGTGGCAACGCTGTGACTGGTAACGTGATGTTCACAGATAAAGAATTTTAGTGTCGTGGTGTGCTATTTATGGTTCCCCCTCACCTCTCTCTCCCTCACCCTACCTCCCCACCCCTCCTCCCCACCTCCCTCCCCCACCCTACCCTCCCCACCCCTACCCTCCCACCCCTGCCTCCC